GCGAACCCAAGTCCAGGGGAGGGGGTAATGGGGGAGAAGAGGCTCCTCCCTACACCACCTGCAACCAGAGGGCTGGTGGGATTCCGTTTTGAAAGCGCGCAAGTGTGCGTTAGTCGGCCACGCGCAAATTGTGTAGGGGGAAGGGAGGAGGCTTCTTAGAAGCACCCCTGCTTCTTATAAGGCGCGGGTGTGTCCATAGATGTAAGGCCGGCGTCTTCTAAGAAGTAGCCTTCTTCTTTACCCCCTGTGCGCGCCGTCAAGTTAGCGCTTGGCGGTTCGATGAGAAAACACCGATTTAACGTGGACTAGCATCGGCTAACGTCGATTCGCGTCGGCAAGCGTCAATTTGCAAGAGCCAGCACGATGACATGGGAGGCTCTCATGAGTTGCCACAGTAGCTAGCCCGGCTTGCGCAGCAACCCCATGCATGCTCGCGTCCTGAGACAAAAAGACGGGAGTTTTTGTCCGTTTTCGGTCTCTGGTGGCCCTCGTTCGTTGGGCCCCAGGGGACGTGCGAAAAAACACGGCCTGACCTGAAAACCCAGCCCTGAGGCAAGTGTCGGGACTTCGGGGATCTCATAACGCAGACATCAAGAAGCCGGGACGTCTGCTTTACATTTGTCCATTTACATCCGCTGCGAGCTCGTGATTGTCATTGAACTCTTACGAGGGAACAGGAATCGGCACACGCGGCGGGTTGCTGATGGAGAAGAGTATATAAGAAACGGGTAGCCAAGTAGTACTTGTTCGCGCGATGGTTTCTGTGTTTTGGGGGACAGTCGGCGCCTGCGGGTTGTGATTCCCAGCTGCGTAATGCAATTCAAAATCGTCGCCTGCGGCGGCTTTTCGATTGCAAATGACCATCGGCGCGTGCGGCGGTCCCTCCGTTTCGAGCGAGTGCTTGACATAATGCATGCTCATCAATGCGACTCAGAGGAGGATCAAGAGGGGAAAAACACACACAGACACAACTCAGTCGACCCCCAGGAAAATATGCGAAAATATGGGAAGTGGGGGGGGGAAGACAGAAACCCAGAAAATATGTGAAAATATCAGGAATCCTTTTATTTCTGTGTATTTATTTGTGTGTCCCAAGGCCCCTTCAGAGGAGAAGGTGCCGATACCGCTACCGGTCCCTTGTTTTTTTCCGACGTTTTGGGGCCTCCGGAGAGGCGCCCACCGCCACGGCTGGCTTCGCCTCAAACTTCCGGTCAGCACTCTCCAGGATGCGCGTTGGGATTTGGCGGTGGGCCTCTCGGGGGCCTCTCGGAGGCCGCTCTGAGGCCTCTTGGCGCCGTTTCGGGGCCTCTTCGGGGCCTCCTCGGGGCCTCTTCGGGGCCTCTTGGAGCCCAGGGAGCCGCAGCGGCATCGGTATCGTTCGGTGTCCCCACAGACCCCGCATGCTGCTCCTCACTTGCGCACCCCCGGAGGCCGCGGGCCTTCTCCAGGGCAGGCTTTGCATCCCCCCGGCCAGTTTTCGACGGCCCCCACGCCCGCCGAGGGGTTCCCAGAAGCCAGCAGAAGCGCCGAAACGCTCACCGACGTGCAGCGACGTTGTCCACCATGCGGCCGCGCGCAGACGAGGGGTAGGGGGGAGGGAGGAAAGCTTCTTGGAAGCACCCCGTAATGGAGGATGACGATTAATAAATGACCGGAAGTCGTGTTCACGCGGCGGCGCCCGGGATGACGATTAGAAAAAACCGGCCGCGGGCTGGAAAACTATTCTTTTTAATCGTTCTCCTCCAGTCAGAAAAGTGTGCAGAAATAGCAGAAAATCATTTTTGTACCGTTCTCTCCCCTTTTTTTATTAATCGTCATCCCGCATTGCTTCTCATCAGGCGCGGGCCTTGTCCGTAGATGTAGGGCCAGCGCCTTCAAAGTTGTAGCCTCCTTCTGAGAAGCCATCCCCGCTTCCCCTGCCCCCTCTGCGCCGTCAAACCATGCGGGGGGTGGTCTGGGGGGGCTCCATGTGTCCAGGCCTCCCAGTGGGTCTGGAGCAGATGGGATCGGCGGATCGCGCCGCGCCGCCAGTGCATCGGCAATGCGGCGCGATTCGGAGCACGGCACTCTCCATCTCTCGAGTAGGGAATCGACTACAGAATTGATTGATCCCCAAATTCATTTTTCCGTCGACTCCACAACAAATAGATAGACTGCTCGATTCCCGCAGCTTCGACGGAAAAACGAATTTTAGGGCAAATCAATTCTGTAGTCCACCCCCTACTCGAATCTCGACGTCGCCGATGCATCGGCGATTCATCGGCGATGTGGGTGTGATTGCCCGACCCTGCCCCCCTCTCTGGCCCACTGTCTGGCGGCGTGCCCAGGGGGGGGGGGGGAAGGCACAGAGGGCGTTTCTCAGAAGGCCGGAGGGCCTCTGAGAGGCCCCGCCGCCGTCTGAGAAGGCCGACTCCCTCTCCTTTCCATTCTCGCTTCCCCCCCCTCGGAACGCCGCCGAATGTAGGGAGGCCTCCGAGAGGGGCCCTCCCCTTCTCTCCAGCCCTGCTCTCCCTCCGGCCAACCACCTCAAGAAGGAGCTGGGCAAGAAGGTGTTACAGTCGGGCCGAGGTAGCCAGCCCATGACAAACAAACATTATCCTGGCAAAGGACCCAAACATATGCAGTTGTGAGACACGCAATTGTTGGTATCGTCTTCGGTGGTTCTCCTTATGGGGCACGAAACGTGTGAGGGCTGTGCCAACATGGGCGCGGTGGTGTCCTGCGAGCGCAGCCATTGGGGCCTTCGATGGAGATCCCCATGGAGCCACGAAATGGTTGAGGGGTGTGCCGAAATGGGTGCGGTGGTGCCATGCGAGCGCAGCCACTGGGGCCTTCGGTGGAGCTCCTTGAGGGGCCACAAAACGTGTGAGGGGCGTGCCGACATGGGCGTGGTGGTGTCATGCGAGCGCACTGGGGCCTTCGGTGGAGCTCCCCACGGGGCCACGAAACGTGTGAGGGGTGTGCCGAAATGGGTGCGGTTTTGCCATGCGAGCGCAGCCACTGGGGCCTTCGGTGGAGCTCCCCACTGGGCCACGAAACGTGTGAGGGGTGTGCCGAAATGGGTGCGGTGGTGTCATGCGAGCGCAGCCACTGGGGCCTTCGGTGGAGCTCCCCATGAGGCCACGAAACGTGTGAGCGGTGTGCCGGAATGGGCGCGGTGGTGCCATGCGAGCGCAGCCACTGGGGCCTTCGGTGGAGCTCCCCATGGGGCCACGAAGCGTTGTACTGGGAGGGGGAAACGTAGGGAGGAGGGAGCAGGAGGAGGAAGAGGGGGAGGATAAGGAGAGAGGAGGAGAAAGGAGGAACGCGGGGACCGTCTCTTCAAAACGAGGACCCAACACCACAGGATGGTTGGGAAAAAACAGATACAATTGGGGAGGGTGCCCTGATGTCCTTCGTGTTTGTTGGATGCTCTTGTGCACCCTGAGGAGGGGTGCCCTTGACTGCTCTGTGCGTCCTGGCTGGCGGAGGGTCTCATGTTTTTGAAGGACGTTCTCTTCTGGCCCAGGTCCGACCGCATCCTTCCTCGGGGTCGAGGTGAGGCACGCCGCCATGGGAGAGTCGCCGCGCTGGGCGCCTCTCCTCATTGCAGCGGCGTGCCTCAGCCCAGAAGGTCGCCCTCTTCTTTCCCTCTTGACTGCACTCCACCCGCTTTGTGAGGATGGGCGACCTTCCCAAGGGTACCCCTGCCTCCTTGCCTCCTCGGCCCATCCTTGGCCACTCGCGTTGGCCGCGCCCCGCCCGAACAGCTACCCAAATGGGCGCCCAAGGCCCCCGATACGGGCCGACTGCAGTGAGCCCTCGCCGCGCGTGTCCCACGGGCGCCCACGACCGCGTAAACGCTCGCCGCCGCCGCCGACGAATACAAAAGGTCCCCGCCCGGAGGCGCGCCCGCTGGCCCGCGGGGCGCGGAGGCCGGTGCCCCCTGCGCGAGGGCGCGCGCCATGTGTGCGGCGCGGGCGGGGGCCCGCGCGCCGCGCCAGGAGTGGCCCGCGAACACGTACCACATCGTGTCCCGCAACTGCGTGACGTTCGCGGAGGAGCTGACGAAGGCGCCGCCGCCGCCGCCTCGCTCGCCAGGATGGGGGGGGCAGAGGAGGAGGGGGGGAAGAGGAGGACGAGGAGGAGGAGGAGGAGGAGAGGAGGAGGAGGAGGAGGAGGAGGAGGAGGAGGAAAGGGGAGGCGAGGGGAGGCGGGGAAGAGGTGAAAGAGGAGGAGGGGGAGGAGGAGAGAAGGAGAGGGGAATAGGGGAAAGACAAGGAAGGAGGAGGAGGAGGAGGCTATTCTCGAGAGGTGAGTCCAAATCGCCCGGGGACGCTAGCCCCGAAGCTTCACCGAAAATCTGGTGCACCGCCCCCAGGGCCTTTAGCCCGAGCACGAGTTACCCGAGCCTAGGCGCACGGACATTACTGCACAATCACCCTCTACCCAGGAGCCTGTTTCACATTTAAGAAAGTCTGGCAAGTTTGCTTGCATGGCGCTCACCCCCCCCCCGCCCCCCCCCCCTCCCTCGCCCCTCTTACGTAAAACGAATACTAGCGTGCAAGTACCTTTCGACTTGCGTGATTTCCGCACGTGCAAGTCGTTTGCGGCTTGCTTTGACGGTCCCGTTTTTTGACGGTCCCGAGGCCCAGGAAGGGCCCCCAGAGGCCGAAAATAGCGAATATCTTCACCTCTTGTTTGTTTCACAACCCGAGGGGGTCTGGGTACGTTCCATATCCAAATCGTGCCTGCTCCTACAGTGGAAACCCATGCCAAGAAACACCATGCTTGCCTGTAGGGTGCCCTTGGTTTATTGGGTTTCATGGGTTTTGCTATGGAAAGCGTGACGCTCCCACACAAAAAATCCATGGGCGTCCTGGGGTCAGGGTTTGGTGTCTTGTGGAAGGTTTCTCGTGGTCGAGCTCCTACTGTACCTATGGGCCTCAGCACTCTCTGAAGTCGTGGGAGGATCACGAAGGCGCCTCTCGCGCCGCGCCGCCTCCACTCTGCAATCGTTCGTCTTGGCACGCCGCGTGGCCCAGGGTAGGCTGCAGGATCGGACATTTTTTGGAGAGCCCCTGGCAGCGCTCAGGAACCCGCCTCAACTCACAGTCGATGCGGATAGTAAGGATGAAGAGCTTTCCACGGCTACCCTTCTTAGCTGCACTGATACGCCCGTGCTGATACGCAACACGTACCGTGTTCAAAACGCCTGTGTTGATACGCTGCGTGTTTGTCCGGCACGTGTTGACCCACGTTTCGTCGCGCCAGGCCTACGTCTCAGTCTACGTGTTGTCACCGAACGCGTTCCACTACTCGCAAAGTGTCTACTCGCAAACGTCCGAAAAGCACGTGTCTGTTTTGATGTCATTTATCGTAGATCCCCCGCGGGGGATCCAGGCCATTTGCGAGTCGTTGCTTTGCGAGTCGTGGAGCGCGCTCGTCGACGTTGAGCCCCGTGTCAGCACGCTACGTGTTGCGTGTTGCGCATCAGGGCAGCCAAGCTACCCCTGGATCCTCCTCCTCCGGCCCCTCCTCGGCCACCTGCGCTGGCCGCGCCCCGCTCGAAAGGGCCGACACTGTCTCCAATACAGGCTTCCTGGATGGGGTCGGAGTAGATGGGCTTCGAGGAGCGCGAACCGCACCGCCGGTACATCGGCGATGCACCAGCGACGCATCGGCGCTGCCCCGGCGATGCATCGGCGATGCCCCGCCGGTGCATCGTCGTCGTGGGCGATGCATCGGCAACGTCGACGTGAGCAAATCGGGCTCCACATCGAGCCGCATCGGTGATGCATCGGCGATGCGGCGCGATCCCCCGACCCCATCTACTTCGACCCCATCTAGGAGGCCTAGATCCAAGGCCCTTGCATCCTGATCCTGCAGCCTTACGATGCGCGTTGGCTGTACATGGGAGCAGGAGTCGTGGGATCGGAGGCTCGGGCTCATCCACAGCCACTGCCAGCGAGGGTGCGCGTTCGCCTGCGGGAGCTCCCTCCGGAGCGCCTGCTCTTCGCCGACCCCGCGCTTGCGTTGGGGTGGTGGCCCACTGACATCGCGGCCTGCTCCGCCCCCCTTGCCACCGCCTAGACATCGACATTCGGGGGGGGCCTCAGCAGATGGCGGGTCTGAACTATGTTTGTTCATATGTTAAGGCCGAGAGAGAGGAGAGAGGAGAAAGGAGCATATCCCAAAAGATCGTGGAAGCCCTCTCGGGCTGAGGTCCGCCCAACCCTTCTCTCCGATGTCGATCGGCTCGGCCACCCCCGCCTGCCCTAACATGTCTGTGGTGTTTTCTATGGTATGCAATGTATTTCGTGCACTCTGTATGGTGTAGTCGATGTTGTGCAATATACGTTGTGCAATTTATATGATACAGCCTATGTTGTGCAATACATTTAGTGCCGTTTATGTTGTGAGCGATCAGAGAGCGTGCCGCAGGCGTGAAAAATACATCGTGCAGCCGGTGTGCTGGAAATCTACGTGGGGCAATCTACGTGGTGCTATTCACTTGCCGAACTTGAAGTTGTCAACTCCACTGCTCGCGCAATCATCCCACCCACCCACCCACAACTTGGTTTGCAAAATCCATGCGGGAGCGGTTGCTGGGTGTTGGCTGGTGCATTTCTTGCGGCCGCACTCGCCCGCGCATGCTCGCGCGCTCAGCGGCCAGCTAGTTTGGCACGACCGACGCGAACGCGGTGGCACTGACTGTCGGCACATTCCAGCGGGCACTTCAGTGCGAGTTAGCGATTTGAGCGGGCAGGGTATCATGGCAACGTCGACAAAGGTAGGCACGAGGATGGTAGTAGCGATGTTGGTGACGATGCTGACAAAGACGACGGGGCAGCCAGTGACGGCACCGATGCTGATCACGCCGACAACGAGGACGGCGTCTTCGCGTCGGTGATGAAGGTTTTGGAAGGAATTCGACATGGGCGCGCGGCAGACGCGCGAGAGTGGCTCGCATGTTACTATTTGACACGGGCTGTGCCACCCCAGCACGCGCGCAAGGGCGTTCGAACGATTTCGACGCGCGCGCGACGCCCGCTTGGTAGCATGTTATGAGAATGTTGAAAAATTCTTAGTTTCCTGAAGAATTCGCAAGAGCGCGCGCGCACGCAATTGTTGAACATCCGCGTTGCGAAACCTTATGTCTGTTATGTGTTTTGGACATTCGATTTTTTTTAATTTCTTCCGAAGCCATCGGTTGTTGAAGGATTTTGGCGTGCGCGCGCGACGACGCGCGCGTGTGCACTTCGTTCCGTTCTTTTCGTTGTAAAGCATTTTTGATACAGCTTATGATGTGTGATAAACGAGCGCGAGTATATTTTTTGGCAAGGTGACCGAAGGGCGGCCGATACCAGCCTAGCTGGGATAGTACGAATTCACAGGTCGGATGGACATTGGGTCAGATTACGATGCGTTTTGCAAAAGGTTCCCGGGGAGTGGATAAGTCCGGGGGGGATTTTTTCCATTATTCAAAAATTGTGGATCGCAGTGAGTTGTCAACTCCAATGCTCGCGCAATCATCCCGCCCACCAGCCCGCAACTTGGTTTGCATGAGCCCATGCGGCGGCGATTGCGATGAGTGCTTGGTGTTTGTTGGTGCATTTCTGCGGCCGCGATAGCCCGCGCATGCTCGCGCGCGCAGCGGCCAGCTAGTTTGGCGCGACCGACGCGGTTGCGGTGGCGGTGACCGCTGGGCACTTCCTAGCGGGTACTTCAGCGCGAGTCGTCGACGTGGGCGGGCGCGGTATCATGGCGACGATTCTGCCAGCGGTAGACACGATAATGGTAGTAGCGATGTTGGTGACGATGGTGACAAAGACGACGGCAAGGCCAACGACGCGCCGATGTTGACCACGCCGACGGCGATGGCGGCGTCTTCGCGTCGGTGGTGAAGGTGTTGGAAGGAGTTCGACATGCGCGCGCGGCCGACGCGCGACAGTGGCCCGCGCGATCTTATTTGCCGCGGACGTGCCACCTCCCAGCACGCGCGCAAGGGCGTTCGAATAATTTCGACATGCGGCGCGAAAGGCTCGTTTTGCAGAATGTAATGGACATGGTGTGCCACTGATGGTTCTCGTGAGAAGTTGCGAGAAAAAAAAAAGCAAAACAAACAAAAACACGCGAACACCGTTTTTGTTTTCCAAGACTTTCGCTGCACAATCACGTGTCTCTTATCGGTTTTCGTGGCGATCGGTCTTGAAATCCTGGCGACACCCAAGGTGTTGTATGGATATGGGGCGTGCGCGCGGCGACGCGCGCGCACGTCGTCCCGTTTTTTGTTGGAAGGGGTTCTTGTGACAGCACGCGCGCAAGGGCGTTCGAACGATTCCGACATGCGCGCTGGAGGCCCGTTTGGTAGCAAGTCGTGGAAATGTCGGAAAGACGATGGTTCTGTCAAGACTTCGCAAGTGCGCGGGCGCACATTAGTTTTGAACGTTTTCGCTGCAACAAAACAGGTGTTTCTATATGTTGTCGGGACGTTCGATTTTGTATATGACGAAACCTTAGGTTGTGGAAAGAGTTTGGCATGCGCGCGCGGCGGCGCACGCGCGCGCACGTCGTCCCGTTTCGGCGCAAAGGGGCTTTTGAAAACACATGGTTTTGCATGAACGAGCGCGCGCGATTATTTGTTTTGGTTTGCAGAGGGGGGAGGCGGATGCCAGCCTTCATGGGATGGTATGACTTCATATTTTGAAAGGCCGAAGGCCGACGGAGCAGACTTCAAATGCACATTGCAATGCGAACAGGGGTGCGTTAATTCGGGGGGGGGGAAGGGGGGGGGGGGGGGGGGGGGCGGGGGGGGGGGGGATCTTCATATTCCCTTGGAAACGAACATCGACGTGGGAACTCTGGCGGTGCAACCGATGTTGAGCTAATTTTATCTGGTAGACCCTATTGGGTGCAACCGGCCTGGTGCAAACTATGTGGCGCATACTTGTGGAATCCGCGAGGTGCACTCCACGTTGTGCAATTTAGGCGGCGACGGGGAACACGGAACCGCCAGACCGCCAGCAAGGTTCAGACGACTTGCGGCGAGGGGGCGGCGACGGCGAGCACG